AAGTAGATGTCTGAGGCCAGCTACCCCAATAGAAAGTCAAGATATTATGCTCAATTGCCAGATCTGAGCAAATTTTTGGACCTAGAACCTGATGATGGAAATGAGCAAATGTGCATAGTAGTGATTCCCTGAGTTCTTTACTGAGAGGACCTATGGCCATTTATTCAAGTAACCGTATACCAGACCAAAAAAAAGAAAAAAGAAAAAAAAAACAAATATAACAAACTATTAAGGTCTGTTGATAACAGCATCTGAGCTGATCCTAACACCTACAGCCCCCAAGTACCATCACAGCCCCTGTTAGAGTAGATTGTATGGAGGTAAAGTAATGTTCATCTAACAGCGGGTCCACTCAATCCACGGAACCACTCAACAGTCATTTTCCCGGTCCTAAATGTCTAATCAGGACTCACATAGTCATTAGTCAAACTGGTTCTTTAACCTATCATTCATTAACCTATAAAATAGCAATGACTATTTTAGGAAAGGCCAAGCAGAAGGCCCTGAAAATAAAGTTTTTTTAATGGTAAAATAGTAACTTGAAAGCAATATCATATTCCTGGTGAAGGAGGGAATGACAGAGATTAGTGCCACCTGCAAATATTTAAATATGCATAAGTGGTAATCTCCATTATATTTCCATTTGATTCAATATTCTGGCTTCTGGGAAAGGTAGGTGATTCATGGCTATTAGATGACTAATAGAAACTTAAGGAAGAGAGGGGCTTACAGCAACCAGCACTTAGACCTTGGTGGGCTGCATTCCTGCGCAAAGCGGTGTGTAAGCAGATATCCCAGCTAGTGGCTCCACTCTTCCGCAGAGCTGAGCCTGTGGTCCCACATGGCTAGGAAGCTTGGTTGACAGTTTTACCTGATTTGTGTCCCCAGTCAGGTTATAGCAGCTATGGGGCCCATTCTACTACCCAACCCAAGCCGTAAAGAAACTTTCCAACCCTGCCCACCGACTGAGAGTAGCTCCCAGTCCTGGACTTTCAGAAAGTCTGGCCAGGGGACCCAGAGGCCAAAGGGACAAGGTTATTATACTGATAAGCCACAGAGCCTACTCTGTAGCTCTGCCCAACAGCAGAGCATAGCCTGTGGCCCTGTCCAATTGCCAAAACAACCTGTGGCCTCTCCTATGCAGCAGCCTCCCCAGTGAGCTTGCTCACTCATAGAGCTTAGCTTAAGCCCCACGCAATGAGGAAGCCTAGAAGACACTCTTGCCCAACAGTGGAGCAGTCTCTAGCCCCACCAACTGCAGGATATAGCTGGAGACCCATCCCTACCTGAGAGTGGCCAAACCATCCTGAACAGCAGAGCACAGCAAGCGGCCTAACTGATTGTGTAGCCAACCCATGGCCCTTCCTAATTCAGGGAACAGACTTCTGCTGTGCCTTATAATAGACCACAGCATGAGGTCAGATCTGACAGGGAAGTCCTGCATGTGGCCTCTCAAAGACATGGAGCCCAGCTTATGTTAAAATCAGGCTGAGGAGTATAGCCTGTTTAGGTGTAAACAGGAGCTATTGTAGGGTCCACCCTGTAATGTTGCCCAATCATAGAGTCTAACCAGTGTCCCCAGCATGACTGCCTCACCAGACAGGAGGTGATTTCAGAACCAAGAAAGTGAGCCCCTCTGAATGCAGTGCACAGCTAGCAGCCCTACTCAGTCAGAGAGTCCAACCAACCGTGAAGCTCAGCCACCATCCACCTCTCAACCTCGGAGCATGGAAGTGGCCTTGCCCAACTGAGATGCTCATAACATGCTCCACCTGCGCATAAACACCACCAGCTGTCCCACCCAGTACCCCAACCTGAGCTGACTGATGAAGGTCTTTCCTTGCTGAAGTGAACCTGTAAATTCTGGAAGAAAAGACTGATTCAAATCATCAAATGTGATGATACAAACACATGGAATCAAGAATTATGAAGAATCAGGCAAACATGAAACTACCTAAGGAGACTAATAAACTCTAATAATTGACCCTAAAAAAATGAAGATCTATAAACTGTCTAACAAAAAAATTCAGGACTATCCTCTTAGAGAATTTAAGTGAACTACAAGAACACATAGACAATTAAATTAAGTGAGGAAACTATACACGAATAAAAAAAGAAGTTCAACAAAGAAAAGGAAGCTATCAAAAATTCAAACAGACATTCTAGAACTAAAGAAGACAATGACCGCACTGAAGAATTCAATAGAGAGCTTCAACAGCAGACTCAATCAAGTAGAAGAAAAAAAATCAGTGAACTAAAAGATAAGTTACTTGAAATTATCTAGGCAGATGATCAAAAGAAGAATGAAAATGAGTGAAGAATGCCCATAGGACTTAGGGGACATTATTAAGAAAAATACATATTTGTCATGGTAGTCCTAGAAGGTGAAAAGAAAAAGAAAAGAACAGAAAGTCTATTTAAAGCAATGATGATTGAAAAATTCCAAATTTGGGGAGAGAAATGAACATTCATATTTGTAAAGCTTAAAGGACCCAATACGTTAAACCTGAATAGGGCTACACTGACATACCTTATAACTAAATTGTCAAAATACAAAGACAAAGAGAGAATTTTGAAAGCAGCAAAAGTGACTTGTTGCATAAAACAGAGCCCCCATAAGACTACCATCAAATTACTGAACAGATACTTTGCAGATCAAGAAAAAGTGGGGTTATATATTCAAAATACTGAAATTAAAAAAAAAAACCCCAAACTGTTAACCAAGAATAGTATCCAGCAAAGCAATCTTTCCGAAATAAAGAAAAAATAGACTTTCCCAAAGAAAAGCAGAGAGAGCTCATCATACTAGAACTGTCTTATTAAAAAACACTAAAGGACCTTCTTCAAGCTAAAATAAAAGGAATGTAATTAACACCATAAAAACATGACCTGAACTCTCAACTATCCATAACTGGGTTCTCTTTCTCCTTTTGTTACATGCACAAGGAATTTAGAGCAGGAAGGAGGCGGAGGGAAGGCTGAGGTCCAAATCCATTGGAAAGAGATGGCTGCTGCACATAAGTCCTTGAAACAAAATGGAGATTCAACAACCATAACTCAATCTCCTCCTTTAACAACAACAACAACAACAATAACAACAACAACAACACATGTACGATGCCTGTCCAGAAACTATCCAGCCATATACTATGAAAAATAGAGATATTTATTGAAGATACAAGATACAAGAAACATTGTACTTAGGACAGTGACACTTCAGTTCCCTTCAACGTAGGCACCTTGAACCTCAGACAGTTCTAATTGCCATCAGCCATCATGTATTTTCCTCAATCTCATTGATGGTCAGAAAGTTCTTTCCTTTCACAGGTGTGAAGGACACATGGATGAAGCCAAGGTGGGAAAGGATTGAAGGGAGGGAGGTGGGGCTGGGTGGGGCAGGGGAATGTGGTGGCGGGTAAATGGAGACAAATGTATTTGAAAAACTAAAATATATATATATATATTAAAAAAATAAAAATGTATATATAAAAAAGAAATCTCTTTACTTTCAAAGGTGATTTTAATTTTGGGAAAACTAGAAGTCACAGGGCACCAAATCTGAGTGGTAGCGGGGCTGATTTACCTGGATAATTTAATGTTTCACCAAAAACTCTGCAGGAGACATGATGCATGAACTGGCACATTGTTGTGATGAAGCTGCCAGTCACCAGTTGTCCATAGCCACACCCTACTGAATCATCCAAATAGTTTCCACGGAGGAATGTTCAAGCTTAACACAAAATTTGATGCAGATGCGTTGCTCTACTTGCTCAGTTATTTTGAATGCAACAGCCACTCAATACACATGCTCAGTCAATGGAGTCTACTGCCCCCACTGACTAGTAAGTACAGTGTAGTCATCATTGTTCACACATGTGGGTTCCAGTCCCCTCTCCTTGGCTGCCAGGTTACATCAATGTCATGCAAACTGTTCTTATTTTATTAACAATGGTTGGACTTTTTCCAAACAGACCTTGTATATATTATATATTCTTAAGCTTTTTGGAAACAACTTATATGTCTCATATGTATAGGTGGTTTGTAAGTATTAAGTTCAGCAGAATTCTGTGGTAATCCATGTTTTTTCTCCAGGCATATTATTTGCTCTGTTATTTCATTTATAAACAACCCCACTCTCAGTAGACGTGTGTCCGCGTTCCCGTGAGCACAGGAGCACAAAGCGTATCTAGCCTGGCTGCGTGTCCCCTAACAAATACGTGCCCCTGGTGCACTGCACGGCAGCATCTCTCCTCCGTGGTGGGCAGGGGCTCAGGGCGCTGGACCCCTGGGGTCTCCAGCAGCCAGAACAGGGCTGGGGCTGGGAGTGGGCAGGGCTGGTCTGCTGCTTACCGGCTAGGACAGAGAGTTCTGCTTCTGATCTGCAGGAGTGAGTCCCTAAGGAGCCATCCTCTTGAAGAAAACAGCTAGAAGCTCTGGGCAATATTTAGAGAACAATGCTTTAGTTTTTGGGAAAGTGAACAAAGATGAGGCAATGCTGCAGGGAAGTCAAATCTCACAAACAGCCAAAATGAGATGTTTCCAGTGTACTTCTTTGGGAGAAAAGAAAGAACAGAGGTGGAGAGAAGGTAGAACCTTCCCCTGTATCTGACTGGTAATTGGGTGAGAACCCTTAGTCCCAGCCAGAGGAAGTCAGACTCAGGGAATACATGCGGAAACCATTGTTCTGAGAATGGTGCTTCTCTAACCCTGTGTCTGAACACGAAGGCCTAACGCCATTCCTCTGTGCCCTCTTAAAAAGTTGGGGCAGCTGAGGAGAGGGCAATTTACAGATGTTGTTGGTGTCTTTGCACAAACAAGGGGGCTTCTGAGGGCAAGTACTGCTCATTGCTGGGGGTCCCCCTCCCCTGGCCCTCCAGGTCCTGACTGCCCCTCCTTGAACTCCATTCCTGCTGCCGCATGTCCTGATGGCTGAGAGCCACTGTGGGGCGCAGGAGGACGGAGGCAGTGCCTGACAGCGCTGGGAAGTTACTTTCACTTCTATTTTCCCATTCGGGCGGAGCCCTCCCTGGCTAAGTCAGTTCCCAGACTTCTTGCTCAGGGGTTGGACAGCCACACGGAAACCAGAAGGGGACACCAGAGGGATCGGACACCTGGCAGGGCCCACAGTAGGACGATGGCCAGTGGGGGCAGCGACCTCAGCACCAGGTCAGTCTCTGTCTGCCTTCCTTTAACTTTCTGGCTGTGCTGCTGCTTTCGTGCCCGTCATTAGACCCTCATGGAAACCTTGACCTTGGTCCAGCTTTACGAGAACCCTCGCGTGCAGTGTAGTGAAATGCAGGACTCTGTGATGAAATCGGACCTTTAACCTGCAGAGGGACAGACAACAGTGTAAGCGCAGCTGCCACCGCCCACAGGACCCTTGTCTCACACCTGCTGCTCCGCTAGAGGGCCTGTCTGGACTCAGCTGTCTTTTCTGAAGCTTTGAAGCAGCGATTTGTTATTTTCTCATGACCTCTGAACCCTCTCATTCCCCTAGGCCCCCTGTACCTTCACTTAGGTCGTTCCAAAGAGGGTACTTTAGGAAATATAAAATTCAGGGTAAGTGTCTGACTCTTCAAATTCGGGAGCCTTGGTCTCCTCCCTGACCTGGGGACGGGTCAGCACTGGGCCTGTTCCTGTCTCAGGCTGGGGGTCTGGCTCTCCCTCCAGGGGTCTCCATCTAAGGGAGTGAAAGGAAGAGGAAGGACCGACATGACAAAGACCAGCGCAGGCTGGTGTTTCATTTGTGCTTTCAATTCCTGCTCTGGATGGGTTCTACCTCTGGCAGGGAAAAGGCTAGAAACCCAGCCTTTTTCTTTAGTAACGAGTCAGAAATAACAATACCTAATAAGTTTGTTTGTTAGGTATTTAATACAAAAAATACATTATACATTGGTCATAAAATTTCAAATGACAGGAACGTGGACAGAGGGAAGCAGGCCTGTTCACCACCCACGCCCTCCCGCACCCAGTCCTGGGCCTGCTGAGTGATGTGGGCCTAGCGTTTTGTGTCTCTTCTATGCATTTACACACATGACTTATTTTCCTAAATGCATAATTTGTGTCTTGGTTTTTAATGAGTGAGATTATATTGTATATGCCATTCTGGATTTTACATTCTCAAAATTTTAACATTAAAATTATTAGAGGCTTTTCTTCACATTAATAAACCTATGGGTCTGCATCATTCTTATTAAAGCTGCATACTACTCTACCAAATTGATATTCCATAATTTTTAAATTATGTTCCATTTAAGTAATTTGTTTTTTTTCATTGTTTACTGTTACCAACAAATTGCAATAATAATGATTATATATTTCTATATGGTTTTTGCATACGTACAAGTATTTGGTGTTAAAAACCGAAAGTTATATTTGTTAAGGCAAAGGATCCTAATATTTAATTGTTTATAGATCCTATGTAATTGCCTTCTTAGTGGTTGAACCACTGCATTCTCTTTTCTTTAAGTGACTCTTCAGGTCCTTTTTCTTTGGAATTATATGTCACATTTTGTCAATAGGCTGGAGTCTTTATATATCAGATATATTAACCCTTAGACATGTGTGCTGAAAATATTTTCCTATGTTCTTTTGGTATCTTGCTGTATTTTTAACATTTGAACCCATTAAGTCTTCCCCCACTTTTTTTTTTTTTATAATTTTCTTTGCTTGAGTCAGGTATTTCTTCTGTGATATAAATTTTTAAATTTCTTCATCTAGTTTCAATAAGGTTACAAACTGCAAGTGCACCACACTTTTACAATAATTTCAGAAGGACTGATATTTTAAAATTGCTATGTTTTCCTAATTAGAGGCACCTTCTACATCTCCATTATTTAGATCTTGTTTAATTTTCTTCAATAAAACATTACAACTTCTTTCATATAAGTTCATAACTTCTGGATGTTTATAAATATGTGCATGTGTGCTGTGTTTGAAGTATTATTTTATTTCTTTTCATTATATGTTGTTGCAAATAAAATCTTTCCACTTTATGTGCCAGTTTTTATTTATTTATTTAGTTAGTTAGTTAGCTATTATTCATGCTTCTTGGAAACTTCTTTTTCCAATCTTAGGGAATTTAGTTAGGTCTCTATTGTTTCTCCATCTATAATCTTATGTCATATAATGTTGTATCTTATTTTAGTATTCCAATAACTTCTTTTCCTTACCCTATTGCATTAGCTAAAACATATATAAATATGTATGTGTATATGTGTGTGTGTATATACGTATATACACACACACATATATATGTAAATTGTGGCAATGATAAGTATCACCAGTGTTTTTTATTTGAATGAACTTATCATGTCAATTTTTACCTAGTATTTGTTATTTTTTGGAGACTTTGTATTGTCTTGGCTTTCATGTATTTTACAGAGTGTTTCTACAAATAGAAAAACATCAATACATCAGAATCTTGGTCACAAAAGAAAAGTATCAGAAAATTATAATTAGTAGATGTTGAGGAAGCTGCATGTGAAAGAAAATAAAAACAAACCAAGAGTTTATGAAACAAAACAAGAAGCACTCTATTGGTTAAAAGAGGAAGTAGATCTTGCAGTTACTTGCAGTTACTGCTGGGTGTTTTCAAATTTCATTTTAAAATAACTTATGGATATAACTAAATACTTTTTCTGTTTTTGTTTATTGTTGCAATAAATTACATAAAGAGGTTTCCTAATATTTAACCATCATTTTTTATTGTACCCCCCCACACCCTCTTCTACTTCCACCTACTCCTCTGCCCCTCCCTGCAATTACCACACTCTTGTCTGCGTTCCTGAGTTCTTTATCTTTTTTTGCTTGATCCTGCCACCCGCTAACTCCCCCAAATATTTAACCATCTTTATCTCATTACACTCTTTCCCTTTTTCTTCTTTTTCAAAGGAGCCTCTAACTGCAAGATCTACTTTCTCTTTTAACCAATAGAGTGCTTCTTGTTTTGTTTCATAAACTCTTGGTTTGTTTTTATTTTCTTTCACATGCAGCTTACTCAACATCTACTAATTATAATTTTCTGATACTTTTGTGACCAAGATTCTGATGTATTGATGTACATTTTGAAAGTATTGGGAAAAATGTGTGTTCTGTTTCTAGCTTATAAGATTAATTAATATATCTTTCTAGTTAATTTCTCCAGAGCCTGTAAGATAATCTTTGCCTATGCAAAAAGCCAAAAACTAGAGGTGACTGTTTTTCAATGTCCATAAAACATTTGTCTCATTATTTGTTTTTGAATTTTTCTATCACATGGATATAAGCATCATTTTGTAGTTGCTGTTATTCACATTTGTATACCATAACTTACCTCTCTTTGATTTTAACAACTTTTGTGGCACTTTGTCTTCCTTGAGTCTTGTGTTGGATTCCATTTTTGATCCTGTGCTGTTTAGTATCACACTTGTATCGACTACAGTTAGCATTTTAAATAATATTTTTTCATAATTTTTCCCCTGTTTTAACTTTTTATACTACTTATTGTTTTCCTTTTTTTGGTTTAAAAATGTATTCAAGTGTTTTATTTTTTACTGTTTAATCAAGGGTCATTTTTAATTTCTTAAATTCATTTTTAATCTATATTATTGTAATTGTTAGTTTTGAGTTTGAAACCATGTTGTTCAAGATTTTGATACTTAAAACAAATCATTTAACTCAAATTTTCCTTTACCACTCAGCTCTATACTTTAAGTTTGTTAATATACTTTGAAACCTTACATTGAAATAGTTATTATTTTGTTAAGTAAAATTTTTCTTTTTCTAGAATATTTTCTGCCCACAGATATTAACAATACAGATATTTTGTTAAATACAAACCTAGGTTTAAATATTTCGGTGCTATTGTTAATGGTATTGTTCTTTTTTAAATTTTGAATTCCAATTTTTCAATGCTGGCATGTACAAAAGCCATTAACATTTTTATATTACTTTGCATACTTGTCCTTGCTATACTTATTTATTAGTTTCAGGAGTTTTTTTTGTAAATTCTTTAGCATTTTCTACATAGACAATGATGTTATCTGCAGGCAAAGGCAGTTTTATTTTTTCCAAACTCTATAGTTTTAATATCCTTTCCTTTCTCTAGTCTATGTTCCAGTGCAATATTGAATAGGGTGTAACAAGGAACATTCTTCCTCATTCCTGATCTTAGGGGGAAAGGGTGTATGTTCTCAACAGTAAGTCTAATATTAGCTATGGGTTTCTTGTGAATGTTCTTTCTCCAGGTGAGAAAGTTCCTGTTGATGTCCAGTGTGCTAGGGGTTTCTACATAAATGGGGGAGGATTTTGACAAATGGATTTTTGCATCAGTTGACGTGCTCACTCCATTTTCCTTCTTCAGCCCTTGTTATAATAGATTATATTGATTGACTTGGAATATTGAACGAGCCTTACATATCTGGAGTAAACTCCAGTTGGTCATGAGTATAATCTTATATACATTGTTGCATGCAATTTGCTAGTGTTTTGGTGAAGATTTTTGCATCTTTGTTCATGAGAGTTATGTATTTGTAGTTTGTCTTTCTCTGCTTTTGGTGTCACGTTATTGCTGGACTCATAGGAGGAGTTAAAAAGTTTTCCCTCTGCTTCTATTCTCTGGGCAAGGCTTGGAGAACTGGTATAATTTCTTAGTTCAATGTTTAGTAGATTCACCAGTGAAACTATCTTAGCCTGATGCTTACTTTTTGCAAAGCATTGATTACTCTTTCAGTTTTTAAAATATGGGATAGATAAAATCACAGCAGTAACTTATATCATTTCTCAAGTTTTATGCATTCAATTTTGATTGTCATTACCAAACTGATGTTTAAAAAGATATTATTTATACTTTGATGTATACTGGATAGGACGGACCACCTTTCTTAAGAAAGTTTCATAATTTACACCATAGACAACTGAGATACAACATTTTTGGCATTTGTCACTTAACATTCAAATATATCAGTTCACCAGAAAACTTTAAAAAGCTCTCAGAGAATTTTAAAATATTCACAATCAGAGAATTTCTCTCATGCAGAGGCACATATAAGAAAACATTAAAAAATAAGATATGAAGCTTCTGCTTATATAAAAACTAACTTAAATGTAACTTAAATATACTTAAATGTAACATGTACATCTAGAAATGTATAAGCCAAGACTACTATTTTCATAATTTTCAAGAGAATAGAATGAAAATCAGTAAGCTAATAAAAGAGCAAAAAAAGAACATTATCATATCTATACTCCTAAAATATGTTTGTCTCTGCATTACTATACATCTCTGCACCTGGCCAGCACTTGCATTTATGTTGATTTATTGATGATAGCCATTCTAACGGGTGCGAGGTGATATCTCATTGTGGTTTGAATCACATTTCTTTTGTGATCAGTGATGTCGAGCCCCTTGTCATGTCTGTTGGCCACCTGCATGTCCTCTTTGGAGAAATATCTCTTGTCATGTTCTTCGCCCATTTTTCAATTGGATTGTTTGTTTCTTTAGGGTTAACTTGTATGAGTTTGTTATGTATTTTAAATATTAATCCTTTTCAGATGTATCATTTGCAAATATCTTCATTCATTCAGTCAGTTGTTTTTTCATTCTGTTAATGGTTTCCTTCACTGTGAAAAACTTTTTAATTTGATGTAGTCCCATTTCTTTATATTTTCCTTCCCATTGCTCAAAAAGATATCTCCAAAATGATGTTACTAAGAGTGATGTTAAAAGGTTTACTGCCTATATTTTCTTGTATATGTTTTATGGTTTCTAGTCTCACAGGTAAGTCTTTAATCTATTTTGAGTTTATTTTTGTATGTGGTATAAGAAAGTGTTCAAATTTTAATTTTTATACGTGTATATGTCCAGCTTTGTCAACACCGATTATTAAAGAGACTGTCTTTACCCCATTGTATATCTTCATCTCCTTTGGCTTAGATTAATTGGTCACATAGGTGAGGATTTATTTCAGGGTTCTCTATTCTATTCCATTCATCTGTATATCTAGTCTTTGCCAGTCCTATACTGTTTTGATTATTATAGTGTTATAGTATAATTTGATATCAGGGACTGTGATACTTCTCATTTTGTTTCTTCTCAAGATTTCTTTGGCTTTTTGGGGTCTTTTGTGGTTCCATATAAATTTTAGGGTTAGTTCTAATTCTTAAAAGAATTTAATTTAATAGGGATTGCACTGAATCTCTATATTACTTTAGGTAGTAAGGACATTCATGAGCAATTGTTTTTTCATTTATTTGTATCATCATTGTCTTTCATCATGTCTTATAGTTTTCAGAATAAAGGTATTTCATGTCTTTGGTTAAATTTATCCCTAGGTATCTTATACTTTTTGATACAATTGTAAATGGGATTGTTTTCTCAATTTCTTCTTCTGATCATTTGTTATAGAAACACACCATATTTCTGTGTATTGATTTCATATCCTTCACCTTTATTGACATCATTGTTAGTTCTAATAGTTTTTTGGTGGTGTTTTTAGGGTTTTCTAATATAATATCATGTCATCTACCAATAACAAAAGTTGTACTTCTTTCTTTGCCATCATGTCTTTTATTTCTTTGTCTTTCCTCATTATTGTGGCTAGAACTTCCAATACTCTGTGGAATAGAATTTTTAATAAAAATATTCCAAATTTGTTTAGCAGAAGACGTGTTTACCATGTCTTTGACTGGGACAGTCGGGACAGTTTCAATAGTTTTTTGAACTATTTTTTTTGACAGTTTTTTTTCTTTGACATATTTTTATGATTTCTACTCATTTGCTAAGTACTTTCCAATACATATTTATGAAGCACATGCCTTTCCCCAAGCAATAGTGAAAAAATCAATCATTATTTTTTTTTATTAGCAGCAGCACGGCTTATCAGTCAGTCCTAGTGCCCTGATATTTGTTTGTCCAGGCAAGAGCCAGAAGGATTAATGGTGACCAAGCACATACTGTGTCTGTGACAAGCGCTTTACATCTGTCAGCTGTTTAATTTCCCTGAGATGTATATTTTACCAATAAGGAAAATGCAATTTCCCTGCAATATAGATTTTAACCACTGAGACAGAGGCATCACCGTAAGTGGCTCAGCCATCAAGGGCCTAGAAGGGTTTTGAACCTTGGTCTGTTCAAAAGACAGTATGTATGTCTTGCTGATCCTCCATGCTTCCTTGTATAATATGTTTGTTGGTTGCATCAGTTCCATTTATTCCGGTCTCTAGTCAAGACCACTCACTTTATACATGTTGGTTCTTCACATTCTATCCTTCATGTATAAAATGTTAAACCCCCACAAGCATCTCAAATCTTGATGACCATTTACCATGGTGTCCTTCCTCCCTAGGATGTCTGCAGAAGACTACAGACGTATGTGTGAGATTGCATTCCAACACTTTAAGAAACATAAGGTCGAGATTTCCGATGCAATAAAAACAGTATTTCCTTTCCTTGAGATTCTTCGTGATCGTGGATTCATCACCAATGAAAAGTATAAAGTAAGGGAAGTTAATTTTGTCACAACCTGGCAAACCAGCCCCAAATTAGTTATGTTTTGATAATTTAGAATCAAATGTCAGGGCACAACTTGGCAAGTGAGGGGTCTCCTATGAATGGGGACCTTCTCATGTACTGCTCTAAGTGTTCCTATAAGGTACAAAGGGAGAAGAAACAGGCTTCATTGGAGACAGCCCTCCTTCTGAATGAGGGAACAGTGCTCCGTGGTCTCCCTAGAGTCAAAGTGAGTAGCCCTGGAGAAAGGCTGGATCTGAAGCCCACGGGTTCCACAGATGTATAGTATAATATGCCTTGTAGGAGTTATAAATGCAATATAGCATAAACTAGGAAGTAGAGATAATTTTAATGAATGGATGAATAAGTTTAATTAGTATATTTAATGGAATCATTTACACAGCATTTCATTTCAGTGAATATCAATTTAAATACTTAGATTTGAGAACATTAAAATCCACAGAGAAGTAATGTCTTATTAGCACAAATTTGAACGTAGATGCTTGTTACCGTCTCTTCAACACTTTTAAGATTTCCTTTGGTATTTCTGGAATCTTGGAATTTAGGTTAATTTTAGCAAAAGACATAGGTGGAGATACAGAGATGCAAGTCTTCTCTTTCCCTATGACTAGGCTTACATTATGGCAAAGTCCACAGGAAGGGAAACGACCACCTGGCTTCCCTGAGCCCTTCCAGGCCAAGTCGTCCTGGGGAAGGGACAGGGCTGTCCAGTCAATGGAACGTCAGCCCATCACCTGCTGAGTCAATTGTTAAAATATTTGGCCAAGCTATGAAAGCCATTTAACTTTGAACCCATTTTTGTTCTTCAAAATTTCTCTTTCTTCATTCTAATGTAAATGAGGGTGAGGAGATCAGATTCACAAATGGGTATTTTTAGGAGGAAAGGTTTACTTATTTTACTTAGTAGCCATAAAAATATAGAAAAATTCTAAAACTGAACATGAGGAAATACGGAGGGAAATCGTAATACATTAAAAATGAAATCACTTTCTAGATGTCTTATGTAACATGTAATTCTGTATTCATATTTTCCCTATTCACTATTTTTTAAGGAGTTTAAAAAACATTACAAAAACCTGTCACCTGTATCAAGAGTGGTGTATGATGTTCTCAATGAACTGGAAGAGAAATTTGACATGTCGCTTCTAGAAACCTTGTTCAGCAAGATCACCATGAAGAACTACCCTGATTTAAATGAAATTTGCAAAGACTTCAGAGATGGTAATTCGGTTTATAGTTTACCTTTCAATGTCCATGGCCAATTTTTTTGATGACTATATACTGAGCGTCTGCCATGTGTCACACATAATGCTGGTCAGTGGCAATACAGTATTTAAGAAAACAGATATATCATGAGACTTCTCAAAAGGTTTGGTCCAATGACTATGGTATAACACACACTTGGAGGTCTGCTTAAATTGGCATTTTTTAAACTCACAGAACATATTCCCTGTTGCATCTAATTTACCCGGAAGGACAACTGACAAGAACCACTGCATCTCAGTAAGGCACCATGAGTTCCTGCTCTTTTTGCAGGTGGCCACACAGAAGTCCACCAAGCTGACCACTCCCCGCCTCGAGTGACAGCTCAGCTGTGGGTGCAGGATCCCCCCGGCTCAGCAGCACCAGCCCAGGGGAGTCCGTGTCTCCTGTAACAACTCTGTAGTCATCACTTTCAGGGGCCCCATGAGGGACAGCAGAGTTACAAGCATCACCGCATTGGAGGAAGACCAGCTGTGGCTTGTAGTTTACATGGAGTCCTCCTGGGTCCAGCCATGGGTCATTGTCACCCTCAACCCAGTGTTGACCTGGTAACATAGAAAAGAGAGACCCCCTTCATCAGGGGTCCAGAGTAATGAACAAGAAAATTAACCAGGTCACACTTGCCCTTAAACAAGGATCATGGTTGTATTAGCTCTTTCTCCACAGGGATTAGACAAATTTGATCAAATGATCTCAAACCAATTGCCTTGCCAGAAACTGTGTTTGATACTACACGAAAGTGATTGCTTCACCACTTTTTCTTGAGAGTCATAATTTATAATATTTTATTGTAGTCTGAACTTGTGGTTCAAGCTGTCCCTCCAGTAATTTTTGGATGGCTGTTCCTGGTCATATTTTGTTCTTCCAATAATTTTGGTTTTGATTTGCTGGGAAAATATTTATTTCAACCAAGGTCTCCAAATAACAATGGAGAGTTCACAGGAAAAATGATTATATGAACTGAGGAGTGCAGATGCTGTGGGAAAAGGTATAGAGCATGAAAGGGTCCCTTGTACCTGCAAAACTAGGAGAAATTAGATTTTTCTCAATCAGAGAGTGAGAAGCAGATTGTAGGAGTTGAATCAAAAGGGACACATTTGAAAAAGATTTTGGAATGTTGGATATCTAAAGCTAAGAATTTTGATGTTTATTTGCTGGGCATTAAAGAGATACTGCAGGCTTATAGGTTTATAAGTACAGGTTTATCACTACAGAAGATTCACCTGTCGTCAGCCCTGGGAAGAGTGGGCCCACTGCCTTCCTAGTCTCCTCCTTTAACTCTTCCCCAGATACCCATCCTGAGCTTCTTGGTTTATTTCCTTCCCATTACTTTTCTGGGTCACCTACATGCAGGAGCCCTTGGCTGGTGCACTGACCTCACATTTCTGGCAGTTTCCCAGGCCCTGGTCCAGGCCTCTTGGGACGTCCTCCAGTGCCACAATATTCACTCCCCGCTGGCAGCTTCAGAAGGTGTCCTTCCTTTGTCCTGCAATCTGGGTCCCCTGGACATCTTTCTCGTTCTTCCTGTGTCCTCTGGTGTATCTTTGTGAAGTGCTCACCTTCCCTGATCCAATTAACACCACCTTTTTCTTGAACAGCCATTTATTTAAAGTTTTTTCCTTTCTCTTTTATACACATAGACCTCTACAGGATTGTTCTTCTCCCAAGAATATTCTTTTTTTTCTTACAGTATGAGCAGGTCAGAAAAATACATTGCACATCCATTACTTACTTGACACGTGGTTTTCCAGCCATCTGTAAAATTTTTTTACATAAATAACAAGCTCAGGATATTTCTGTGATCCTTTTATATTGACATTTGAGTGACTCCTATCTGTGTGGGAAGCACAAGGACTTCCTTGTTGGGAGTTCTCTTTTCTGTCCCAGGGATGATGCCAAAATTGACCATGAGGACTGAGGCTCACTGAGTTCCTCATTTCAAGGTTGAAAAATTCCTAAAAGGGCAAATTTGAGAAGATGTCCCTGGGCTGTGATGCAGATCTCTAACTTCTTTCCTCCCCCTCTTCAGTGATCCAAAGGAAAATTTGTCACCAAGCAAATGGAGAAAAGAGCACAAAGAACCATATTACCCAGCTGAGCCTTGAACAAGGTGATTGCAACCAGACAAAACCTGATTTTTTTCTGCAAAGAGTAAAAGGGAAAGGTGGTTGGGCCTGAGTTCTGAGTGGATTTGGGGAATCAAGGAAGAACTGCTGAGAAACCTGGAGAAGGCAAGGAGGGGTACTTGTATGATAATCTGACCCGGGGCCATTCTGGAGGAGCTGCTGTGACAAGAGACCATGGGCCCAAAAACCAATAAAATGAAACAAGAATCTAGTCAATAAACTAGACTTAAAGACCATGCTAACCTGGAAAAAGTTGTGATTTAGAAAGACCCAAGTAGGAGAAGATAAGTGTGAAGTTGAGTAGGGCTAAGAATTATGGGCCCAAGGTCAACATCAAAGAGCAGACCCTTACTAATGGCAGATAAAGGAACTGATTAATTGCCAGAGATGTTGTTCAATGCAGAAATATTGAAGGAGATGGGCAGTCACATAAAGAGAGAAGAGAGGAAGTTGTGAGGTGTGGAGGAGAAGATGCGAGTGTTTTGAGAGAGAGAAGGAAGAGAAATGAAAGATGGGGGGAAAGGGTAAAGGACACAATAAAACAACCATATTATTAGGAGCTCATTCAGTGAACATTTAGTCTGGCAGCTGTGGGCTCAGTGCTCGCAGCTGCCCTTGGTGGCTGGTATCACTCTCTGCCCATTGGCAGAAAAAGAGACTGAAAGGTAGTGAGACCATGTGTGTAGTTGGCTTGGGGTCAAACGAGCAGGAAGAACCCAGGCATTCTGAACCCAGAGCCCATGTTCTAAACTCTGTACATACCCAGATTTTCTCATAGAAAGGACAGAAACTTGAGACAACTATAGGGAAATAAATGCAGAAAGAAAGATACAGAAAGATGGATACCAAGAGCTGGAGGAAGTGAAGGAAAATCCGACCCTGAATCCTGATGACAGGCCCAGAAAGCAGAGTGGACAGACGTGCAGGGGGAGGGTGTGTGTGAAGGGGGGTGGGGAGCCCAGTAAGACCACCCATCTGGGGTAGCGCCAGGGACTGAAACAGGTCCCCTGTGGCTGTGGCTGACAAGACAAGCCACCGCTAGTTACCGAGGGGCTCAGGGATGACAGAGTGGGATGGCCTGACTGAGGCCAGGGGGCCGCTCTGCACTGATACCTGGGGAAGGGGGGTTGTCAGCTCTACGTTGTAAAGACTAAAATGGGCCGGAGGAGAATGGCACAGCCCAGGCTTCGATTTCTGGTATAAGGTTCCAATTTCTTCTTTCAGGAACTGGTGACAACGCCCATCAAAGCATATCCTGGCTCTTCCCAGATCTGTCCGATTACAAAGGTCAGTTCCTTCTGGCCGCTCCGTGCTCCGTTGCTGCTCTTGCCCCGTTCTGGCATGGGCTGTGGTGCGGGGGCTGCTCCTTTTTAGTACAGGTTGCCCGGAATTGTCCATCTGGGCATGTGCAGTGACTCCAGAGATGTGGATAACAGAGCCTCATACACTGCGGTGCTTGGGAGGGGTGGCCCTCTCCCTCTCACGTGCGCTTGCTGCCAACTGCTGCATCTCTGGGCCCTCTTGTCCGTGTGCCTGGCTTCATGGCATCTGTGTCAGTGGTGCTTGAAACAGGCTGCAGCCTCCGCTGTTTGGCGTCACATCCAGCGTTGGCCAGCACTGCAGGAGAGAGGGCAGCGGTGATGACTGTGTGCCTTGGAGGGAGAGTCCCTCGCCTGTTGAATCCTTTACACAGGACCATGTGCCTCCCGTGCAAACCCTCTCCCATCATCCTCAGGGCGGCTGGGCCAGGAGTTGCTCTAGAAACACCAGAAGGGCCTCTGAACGAACACTTGGTCCTTTAGCAACCAATGACCACTGTTTACAACTCTTGACCTTCCCTTACTAAAGTTACTAAAATATTTAAAATATGATAAATTTAAGACATTAACCCTGAAAAGTTAATTTTCTGACCAGTCACCCTACCACTTGTAGTAATACAGGCAATGTTTTATTTAATCTTCTTAAATGCTTAAGATGCTGGCATGTCATTTGGGTTTTGCAGAGGACAAAGGATCAGCTTCGAGACTTGGGCTCCTTGTGCAAGTTCAGCCACTGAGATGCAGGGCAGTGTCAGAGCAGGGGGTCCGGTGAGCCACCGCTGGTTCCCAATTCTGCCCTGAGACCTTGGGAAAGGAACGTCTCATGTTTGTCCCTCAGTTTCAGCATCTGTAAAATGGAGGTGGTGATAGCACCTACCTCACAGGGTGATGGATGGATTTTAAACAAGTTATGTATGTAACACATTCACAGTCATGCCTGGGTCTTCATCAGTCTTCCATGCATTTTTTCACATAATTATGTTTAAAGATAATTATTATTTGTCCATGGGCCAGAGTCTAAGCTACTCACCACTGCAGTGAACCGTGGGATTTTTTCCTCACAGTTGTCCATGGTGGATTTAATTTTCTCCGAGGCTGTGGAGCAGTGATTAAAGCGATACCAACCTCAGGCCCAGGAAAATAAATTGAGGGGCACAGGTGCCCCATCTTTATGTCACACCAGTGTATAATAAATTTCATGTCTTTATTCCCTGACTCTCCTTTGGAAGTGAGTGACATAGAGGAGGCTCAGGGAACTTCCTGCCCATGGAAGGTGTAATTCTGTAGCTTCTGTGGGGTATGTCATTTAATAAAGGATGTTCTACAGTAGTACATTTTTATAAAAGAAAAATACCTTACAAAGTGATTTTCGAAAGCACCATTCTACTTTCAGCAGATCACATAAGGCTAAAAGGTAATACTTAACATGCACCCAACATGCATCAGTCCATATTATTAGTAGTTCATCTACCGGTGCTGCTGGTGGTACAGGAAGCAGAAAGAGGAAGAAATTGTGACTAGTTATGAGCAGAGAAGGGATTCAAAGTGTGTGGGGGACGAGGGGAGAGGATGGGTAGGAGGCCATGACATTATAACCCAAATAATGCATAACAAACAACGAATAAATGTGTCCAAGAGCAGGGACTGTTGACTGTGGCATGCACAGGTGAGGAAAAGGCCGTGTCTCATTCACCCGACACTCCCCAAGAGGGGGCTCCAAGGAACTGTGGATGTGACACAAATCATGTCCCCCAACATACAATCTATTTTAAAATTGAGGGAATTAATTTTTAAGTCATCTTTACATACATTACTTTGCTTAGAAAAAGGGCAGTAAATGATAAATATGCAAGTGCCCTGAAAAAATGTTTATCCATTTATACACTGTTGAGATTGTGGGAACAGAGTGGGAGGGGTCAATGGAATGAGTCATCAGCAGAGGAGGTTCACCATGAGGAAGAGGGTGCACAGACCCTGGGTGGTTTACTCAGGGATTCATTCCTTGTTCATGTTGCCCTGCTCTGCCCTCTAACCCTGGCCACAGACTCCTGCAGGCTTGCTTGCCAGCCCCCTTGCTCCTGCTTCCTGCTGGGTTCCTAACCTGGGAGACACTAGCAAGAGACTGAGAGTGGGCACAAGGGAGAAGCCTGGTGTTTCCCATTCACTGACTTGGGCAGCAGTTCTGGCTGTAGCTGCATCTCCTATGGCTGTTCCTCCCACCAAGTAGAGCAGACTTGGCCCAGCTTGTACCTACGCAGCGACCTTGGCACACCACCTCCCTCTTGGTCCCTCCCATAGCTTCTTGTTGACCATCTTTGGGTTGCCACATTCTTCCATTTGGACTTCTCAGCTCTTCCATCAGCTGTATAACTAATTCCTTGGGTTAAATTCCCTGGGTTCTAAAAGCTTCTAAAGCTTTGTATTTTCCTGTGGGACCTCGATTGATGCAGGAAGCACATAAAATATCTATAAATCAAAATGTGGTTTAGGTACAGCCATACCTGAAAATGAACTCTCAGAGTACCTATGTGAAAAAGAACAGATCAATAAGAAGGAAACAGGTATAACCAGTGGCAACAATGAACTAGAAAGCCAACAAGCAAATGAACAACGTGCCCAAGAGTCTTATCGAGCAGGTAAGACTGAGTGGTTGGGACTGATGCGTGTGGAGGGGAATCAGCAGGCGGAAGAACCCTATTGTGGGTGAAGGCATGGGGAGGCTGTGGCGATGATTGGAATGCTAGGGAAGAGGAAAATATAAAGAAAGACAAAACTGATATAGAAGAGGCATTCGTGGATCACAAAAATAATTAAGAAACAGAAATAAGACAGGAGAAATTATTATGCAGTAAAAAGAAAGAAAGAGCTACTACCCTTTGCAACAGCATGGATGCAACTGGAGAGCATTATGCTAAGCCAAATAAGCCAGGCAATGAAAAACAAATACCATACAATCTCACCTAAGAGTGGAACCTAATGAACAAAACAAACAAGAAAAATATAACCAGTGACATTGAAAGGAAAAAAAAAAGGACCGACCGCAATGCAACCAGCAGTCTGACGAACAGGCAGGGCTGACTGAAAGAGTGTGTGAGGGGAACCGCGGTACCTGTCGAGGGTCTGGGACGCGTCACAGGGCCCAGGGAGGCCGCCTGGTGACCTTGGCTACAAGTAGGAAGGGGAGAGAACTCGTGCCTTATGCAACAAGTTCAGCAGAAAAATGTCCCCAGTAATTGGAAAAATATCTAAAACAGAAAAGGTAAATTAATGCATTGATGTCAGAGGGTATATTTCTGTATTCAGAGGGAGGGAGGGATGAGGGTAAGAGTTAAAGAAAAGGGAAGTGATTCAACCCAAGATATTCATGAAAGGGGATGGAAAAAACTAAACATGAAGACAAGGAGAGATATAGAGAGATACTTTTGCCTTTACCAGTAACAGGCACAATTAGCCAAAATGGGCTGAACCAAAAGGAAAGTGAAGAAAGAGGCTTTGCTTGGGGTGGTGCGTGCACAGTGCTGTGTTCAGATGACATTTTATTGAGTTGTACACTTAAAGCCTGTAGAGTTTTGTGAAACAATATCACCCCAATAACTTAATTTAGAACTAAGAAATAATATTAAAATACAAATAATTAGACTCCTTTTTTAAAATTAGGTTTTATGTAAACTTTCTGATCTATCTTTCTAGCTTAATAGGTAACAGAAGGGCCCCTTGCCAGTGACTGGCCTCTGCTCTGGGGACAGGGAATGGAGCATCACTAACCTACAAGGCAGGTGACTTAGAGGACAGACCAAGTGGTCTAATTATAGGCCATGACACATGGGTTTTGCAAGATGTTTCCAAGCTTTATTAGGGAATTTCCTGCTGAATTGTCTCCTTGGTCACACATTGAGACACCTGAAGAACACATTTCCTTTGTGCAGTGATCGATAACCTTGACTCCTTAGAATCAAGCAAAGGAGGAGGGACCCAGGAAGCCACCTGTTCATGACTCTGAATTGCACCAGATGAGAATATTAAGATTGTATTTCCAGACAACAAAAATTCAGACTCTAAATGTAGAGTCTGTATTGCTGGTGAATCTTATTCTGACATTCTCTGTGTATATTGATTCAATTACTTCTATGGCACCATTTTGAGCATTTAACTTCTCTGACTCTATTGGACAATAGAAGTAAGCAAGAGGCATTATAAACTGTTGTTTAATTACATGAGCCCAATCAATTGATATATTAAGTGTAGCAATAATACACTACACTAGTAAAGAGTAGTCTTACTACATATACTATCATGTCTATTAACACCGAAGAGTTGAAATAATAGGTGTAGTCTCTACAAACATTCTTTATATTATGCAGAGCAGAGCGAGCACAGAATTTCTGTATTTGTTGACAATATTGTCATTACTACCAAACTTAAAATATCTTCAAAGAATAATTTGTGCTGGTATTTAAAAATTTGTGCTGAATAATTAAGGAAAAATTGGCTCAGACCAACACTCTTAAATCCAAATGATACTTAAACTAGTGGTTTACTTTTTGATTTTTCACAGGGTTTTTGTGAATAAAGGTTCAATTTTTTTTTTTTTTTCACAAAAACCTTAACAGGGGATAAGGTACCCAGGTTATCCTAGCATTATAGTTGAGGACACTGGAGATGGTAACGTTTGAAGATCAGTTACAAATTCACATGCAGAGTAAAGGGGAGGGCAGGGCAGGAGCCCAGCATTGTGCCCCTGGGCACCAGAACTGGCTTCAGTTGAAGGAAAGAGGAAAATGCTCATCTCAGCGTTGAGATTGTCATAAACCCTACCTACTGTGTGAGTTGCCATAGACTATGTAAGACCATTGCAAACAAATAACTGTTTTCTCCCTCTTACTTTATAGAGTCCGTGGACTTACGAAGGTCACCTATATCTGGAAAGAGACTTTCCAAAAGAGGTAAGAGCAAATAAGAACTTTTCATGGTTACCAATCAGCAATGTTTTCTACAAAAGATTCCTTCTTATTCTTTGCTGTATCTTTTATAGTAAAATACAAATTTGCATTAATTTAAGATAGTTTGTATTTTACCTTTTATATTAATTAGGTTAATGACTATGACAAATAAACCCAAAGAGGTCAGTGACTGGAACACAACAGAATTCAGGAGGGGAAGGGGTGGGGCTCTATTTCACAAAGACATTCTGGGAAGCAGCCAAGTGACAGACCCGCCTTCTTCAGTGGCAGATTTGTAAGACCACCTTGGGAGAGAAGCAGAGCTTATAATTAATGCAACGACACCCAAACACAAGTCCAGACAGCTGCATGTAAGGGAAGAAAGAGAACGCAGTGCAGAATGCGGAGGGCCCAGAGAACGCAGAGGAGCCACTGAGAGTGAAGAATCTCCACCCCAGGCTCAGGGGACAGTAAGCAAAAGAATACTGACCTGCAGGTCACGTGACTACAGAAGGCAGATCACGGAGGTCTGAGGGAGGGACAAGCTAGCCCTGGGTTTTCAGAACTTCCTATTTTTTCCACTCTGAGTTCCTTGTCACACTCTGAGACCTTCAACGGACATTTGCTCCTTCTGCAGTGAGAAGTCCTGAAGGGCCTTCGGGGCTCAGTGCAGAGGAGCAGCGCCTGGGAGCTGGGAGCCCCGCCGTGGGAAGTGGGGCTGATGTGGAAGGTAAGGACCGCCATCGCTGGGCTCCAGGACAGCAGGAGGCTGAGGTCTGAGCTCCTGCCCCTCTGGGCACAGCCCCCGCCCGGGGGACCCGTTCCTGCCTTGCTCTCGCGTGGCCGCTCTGAAAACTGCAAAAAACAAAATCGACTGACAGACGAGATAGGAAGATACTCATAGATACAGAGAACAGACTGACAGGTGTGAGAAGGGAGCGGGGTGGGCGGCTGGGTGAAAAAGGTGAAGGGATCGATAAAAAAAAAAACCCTCATACATAGACACAGGCAACAGTGTAGTGATTCCTGGAGGGAAAGTAGGCTGGAGAAGTAGAAGAGGGTAAAGGGGGGATAAATAATGATAGAAGGAGACTTGACTTGGGTTGGTGAACATACAATACAATATGCAGATGATATATTACAGAATTGTACACCTGAAACCTATACAATTTTATTAAACAATGTTACTCCAATAAATTCAATAAAAATTTTAAAACAATAAGGAAAAATCAATAAACCTGCCAAGAAAGAATCTTTTAAATTCAGGCTTATCAGGATGGCTCTGGCAGGACAGTGGTGCCTTCTTATTGCACATTCAGATACCTGGCGTCCCCCAGGGAGCTGGGTCACATGGCGATGCTCATGCACGCAGCACCTGTTCTGGAGAGATCAGAGAAAGTGGGACAGTCAGCTGTGGGTCAACTTCGTCACAAACCTGTTCAAAATTCAATAGACTCTAATTAATTTTTAGTTATTGAGACAAGAAAACTTCTGGTTATTACTATCAAGTTCCATTCATGGCTTTGGACAGATGGCCCCAACATGACATTGGCCTATCTAGTGATATTTGAACAGGGCTTTGCAAAAAAGCATACCTAGTTATGTTTACAACAACCTAAAAGTTAGGCCAGAGGTAACTGTTGCTCCCCCATCCCACCGTTGGGGGGTCATCAGTTTGCTCTCTGTATCTGTGAGTTTTTCAGGATCTTTACACGTCACCTAAAATTACCAAAAGGGGCAGAAATAACAGCCTGGACTCCTAGCAAACATCCAAAATCTTTTATTCAAAACCTCTGAAGTCACATATAAAATAATAATAATAATGTTTTATTGTTTTAGAAAGACACTATGGTTTATATCCTGTATGTTACAAAAGACCCCAGTAAGACCTAGGGCAGAAATTGTTCTCAAATATTTTAATGTTTCTGTAAATTATGTTTTCACACCACATGTGATACATAAAAATTTTTCCTAGACTCACGGCAGCTAAGTGCAGGTTAGCTTCCAAATTAGCTGCAAACCTATGAAAATAATGTTAGTTTTCAAAACTTCTTTGATTCTGCATATGGGCTAAAAGATTGTTGTGAGTCTTTGCTTCATTTCATAATGATCTCTTTCCTTTAGATAAGAAGAGACAGAAATGATCGTCATCAAGTCTTTATGTTCTAAATCCTTCAACAATGTGAGGAGTTACAAAATTTACAATGTGATTGGTTATAGATTACCAGCTGCATTTTCCTTTGCTTCCAAATCCTGTGGACATTGAAAACAATTAATGTAGTTGCTCTCCTTTTTGGGGACCCAGCTGAGAGGGCACTGACATCTCACAAAAATCTTAAGACCAATACCTTTTGTTATTCCTGCATAAACTGAAGTACAGAGGTATTTAAGGTGTTTTTAAAGTTCTGGACTCCTACTTCTCAAATCAGTAGGTTTTCAGTTTCCTTTAGAACGTAGAGAGAATCAAGAAATCAAACATTGTATAAACTCAAGCCTCCTACAGCATTAATTATTAATTAATTTTACTTAGTCATTTCTGTTTTCTCATCACCATTTGTTATTTTCTAGGTCCTGTGGATCTTGGAAAAAACCCTACTTTACAAAAAGCCACGAGAAAAAGAAGTAAGAGTGAATAAGATTATACTTGCTTTTAATGTGAAAGATGAGTTTTAAATACCAGAGTTTCATCATCATCATTATTTACAACATTGCAGTAGGTAGAACAATGGCTCCTTAAAGATGTCTGTGTCCCAGTCTCTGGAACCTGTAATCTGTTACCTCACATGGCAAGTGGACTTTACAGATGTAATTAAACCAGGGGCCTTGAGATGGGGGAGATTATCCTGGGTTACCTGGGTAGCCCCAATATACTCCTATAGGCCTTAAAAAGTAGAGACTCTTTCTTGGCTGTGGAGAGAGGAAGCAGTGAGTGTAGAGGGATGGCCAGAGAGACGCAGCAGCGCTGGCTCTGAAGATGGAGGAGGGACTAGGGGATGCCCGTGACCTTAAGGAGCAGGAACAATCAAGGAAGCAGAGTGTCCCCGACAGCCTCCAGAAAAGAATGAAGATCTGCTAAAAACTTGATTTTAGCCCAGTGAGGCCATGTCAGAATTCCAACTGACATTAATTGTGAGATGATAAATTTGTGTTTTTTTAATCCACTATTTGTAGTGATTATTAGGTCAGCAATATGGAAATAATAGAGATTTTGGTTCTTTAAGTGGCTTATGGATACAAAACATTCCTAAAAATGAGGCAGTGGTGTTGGACAGTGGCCAGAGGCTGGAAGAATTCATTTTAAGTAGGATGATACAAAAATCCTGGATTACCTTGAGCAATTTGTGAGTAGAAATGTGGATGCTAAACCTAGAGAAGACTCAGGAGGGAAGACTATGGGAGAGAAAACCTGCATTGTCTCAGAGAAAATGTAGATCATCCTGAACAGCAGAAATATGTAGGACTATGCAGGTTAATGGTGTGACTGGTGAGGTCTCAGAAGGAAATAAGGAAAGAGTTTTTGGAAACTGGAGAAAGAAGACCCTTACTATACACTGACAGAAAAGTTAGCCAAATCCTTTCCTGCAGATAAGTGGGAAACAGAACTTCCTGAATATACACTAAGGAGATTTCTAGATGATGAAGATGCAGCTGTTTTTTTGTTGCTGCTTACCGTAAAATGACAGGGAAATAAGGTAAATTGAGGAGAGAACTGCTCAACAAAAAGGAATCAGGACTTGATGATTTAAATTATTTTTAGCTTACTTGGCTTGAAAAATGATTCTAAAATTGATATTCCCTGTCAGGCAAGTGTGCTCTACAGAACGGCCAAGAATGTGGCTTAATGACTTTTTGCTAGAACCTCAGAAGCAGTGAAAGATCAGAGTATTCCGTCACAGAAAGGTTCTTTGATGAGATTATGTATGTGGCTCACAGATGCCCTCAGCCATCTCAGCGGAAGCCAAAAATAGGTATGTGAATATATAGGGAAAAATCTGTGGAGGAGCCTTTTGTCTAAGGGAGCAAATCCCCATGACACGCATGGGAGACCCATTCGGTGCTTGAGAATTTTATACCAAATGAAACAGAGCTGTCCATGTGTGATTCCTGGAACCTGTATTCTGTTTCTTTACATGGAGAAGGCGACTTTGAAAATGTGATTAAGTTAATGGTCTTGAGATGGGGAGATTACTCTATATAGTCTGGGTGGCACTCATCAGTTTAGATAGGTCTTACAAATAAAAAAATAAAATTTTTCCTGCTGTAGACTGAGGGATTTATGTCTATGGAATATGACCAGAAAGGTGTAACCTGGCCGTCTTTGAAGACGAGAGCAGAAAGCAATGAGTCAAGAAATGTGGGCAGCCCTTGGAGCTAGAAGAGGTTAAAAATAAATTCCTTCTCACAGCCTCCAGAAAAGAACAAAGCCCTGTGGGCACTTTGATTTTAGACCAGTGAGACTTGCATCAGATGTCTGATCTTTAGAAATGTAAAATAAAAATTTGGGTTGCTTTAGGCTGCGAAGTTTATGTGAATTTATTACAGCCGTAACAAGGAACTGCCTCCTTTCATAAGACAAAAAACAATAACAACAAAAAAGAATATTTTGCCTTTATATGATTAGTTTACATCCGTTATATCAGTAATTTATTTATTTTTAAAATGTTCACTACATTGACTCTAGTTTCCAAGGCCCTTTGTAATTCAGAAATCCTTGAAAAGACGCCCCGCGGCCCCCGGAAACGCCACAGAGAACGGCCTCCCAACGCGTTCACCCCACACAGCAGGGCCTGCCAGTGTCCCCAGGAGGGCACACTGCACAGCCACTCGGATTCTTGTCACCAAAGGGGGCTGAGACCCAATCCATTCATTGGCTTCCTGCAGCATTTACCGCATCCCCTAAACTGAACGTGTTTTGGAATCCTGGGGTCACTCTACGGTGCAAGTCACCGTGTGTGTATCAGGGAGGCAAGCGCACGCAGCGCCCTGAAAGGGACGTACCCACCACCGAGGTCTGTGAGGATGTGTGTATCCACCAGCCGGGGGAGGACGGACATGGCTTAAGGCCTGGTCCATTTCTCAGCTATAAGTCTTAGAGTTTTTGTTCCGTTCATTGTTTCTAGCCCTTGATGGGGCAGGATGGGGGAAGGACACTGCCTGAGGACAGTCTATCCAATCTGCCCTCTATGTCCATGACACCAGCCCGGTGACATTTGTTCTTTCACAACCTTCCACCAAATAGCTAAGAATCAGTGTGGGGACATTGGCCAGAGACGTTCCACATGGGAAGTCAGATGCTGGCACCAGCCCCTGTTTCCTCCGATTGGATGCTGAGCGGCAGACTCAGCATCCATGTGGTGAAAGACCTGGACCAGGTGGTTTCCTTCTGGAAGGAGGACTCAGGGCAGCTCTGGATGACAGATGTCATTAATGCCTCTCCACTTCCTACATCTCCTAAGTGTTTCTTCTCTGCTGTCTAGATCTTTGCTCTTCCTTCCCGTTACAAAACCTACATGTACCATTCTGGTGGCTGCAATTTCCTCTTTCTTTCTAATAATCTTCTATTGCCAGACTTTTCATCAAGAAGAATCAGCAAAAGCATTTCCAAAAACTAAAATCAAAATTAAATCTGAATCATCTGGGCACTCTGAAGGCTGCGACCTCCAGGCTGGATGGGCAAAGTATGAGGCATCATTCCTAGCAAGCGTCAGAACTGAATCCAGAATTTTCAGAATTGGTCTCTATAATGCCATTAGTCCCCACCACTTTTGTTCTGATCACAATGCAGGAAGGAGCTGATCCCTTTCTTCATTCATGGGGGACAGCAGCCTTCAGTGCCCAAAGAACCCTAACAGGGAAGCATGTGAACAGGAGATGAGGTAAAAAAAGTCAGATGATCAGACCATTAGGTTCAGCTTTTGATAAAGGGCAGACCGTTGTCAGATGGCAAATGGTCCAGACAGCCATATAATTTGAAGATTGTTCTAGAGTTTACTGGAACAATCAGCTTTGAAAAAGCTCCCCTTTCAGCTTTGAAGAAGGCTGCTGTGGGGGAGGAATGAGGCAAAGCAGCGAACACAAACAGCAGACACCGTGTCCATCAGGTCGGCCCATCGCTGTCCTCTCTGCCCCTGCGTCAGAGCTCACACAGGAAGAGGCCTGTACGGTCTGGACTTTGTCTGCAGCGACCTGAGTGCAGGGAAATAGCCCCGGTGCAGAGCCCCCTCCTACCAGGGCAGTAGCTGTGTGTGCCACTGTCACCTGAGAATCAGGGGGTGACCACATGGCGGGGAGCTCAGACAGTCTCACGTGGACGCCTGGTGTCTCTACTACAGCGTTCTGACTGGGGGGGGGGGGGTTTGAGAGGTGAAATGAAGGTAGACATTCTGTGGTTATGTATCAAGAGTGTCACTGACTCGTTGTAATAGAATTAACATGATTTATAAATAAAAACATAATTAAAAAAATAAAATAAAATGCCACTGAAAAAAAGACTCTGAAACTGCAGATTTATGGAATAAAGTTCCCTAAGCACCCCTATGACCTTATGGAAACAACCATCACATGGTAGGAAGTTGTCCATGTGCAATTGTGAAATAAGACAGAATGAAGATTCTTCTTTTTCAGGGAAAAGACAGCACCCAAGAGTGCCTGTGAATTTTCACGCTGAAATACTTCCTGTGACCTGTGGGGAGATAAGCGGTAAATTGTTTAAGAGGGAATTTGAACAAGGTAAGTTTCAAAGTTTACTTTAATTTGCAGCCACTATATGAAGGAATCACAAGAAGTAATGTAACTAGCCATGTGAATATTCCTTCATTCAAAGAATTGAGGCCCCACTGTGGCTAGAAAGAAGAAGGAAGGGATCCCTAAGATGATATTTTTACCCTAAAGGAATGGTGCATATTAAGTGCTCCCTGCCATGTGGAAGTGCCCGTGAGGAAACCCAAGGAACCAAAGAGAAGTGCAGGATCGTCCGTCTCTGGGTGGAAAATGCTGCACTTTTTACTTTGAATCAGATATAGCAAGCTCGGCTCCTTGTGTCCCCTCTGGATAATCACCGCCAGGACAGGGTGTCAGGTGTGGTGGGGAGATCACAGGGTTTAGAGTCAGAAACCTGAGTCCCAGCCTCAGCCCTGCCCAGTTAGACAGTGTGAAGGCTGGGACCTCCCCGAGCCTGAACGTTCTCATCTGAGAAATGGGTGACATGTACAAACATGCCTCCTGGTGTGACTGTGAGAGTTAATTTGCATAATGAATATAAAGTGTTTGGTGATTTTAACATTATAAAACTTTTCCATAATTGTCTATTCGGATGAACTCATAGAAAGTTTCTCTTAAAGTAGATAGTGAAAACCAACTAATGTCTGCAAATTAACTATTTTTAAAAATAGCTTTACTGAGGTATAACTCACATATCATACAATTCACCACTTGGAGTATAAAATTCATTGCTGGATTTTTGTTTGTTTCTTTTATTTGTTCATAAGATTATGCAACAATCGTCACAATCTCATTTTAGACCATTTTGTCTCCCACTAAAGAAAAGAAAACTCACACCTCTTAGTCGTCAATGCAACTCACCCCACTGCCTCACCCTCTGCCTTAACCCAGGCAACCACTAATCTATTTCCTGGCCTATACACTGGACTATCTAGGCATTTCATATCAATTAACTCATATAACATGTGCTTTCTGCGACTGGTTCTTTCATACCATAATGTCTTCATGGTTCACCCGTGTAGAAGCATGTATTATATTTCCTTCTTTTTGATGCCAAATAACGTAATACTCCATGGTCTGGATTTGCCATATTTTGTTTATCTATCCTTTTGTTGGGGTTTTCTACTTTCTGGCTATTACGAAAGGTACTCTTTTTGAACATTCACATAAAGTATTTGTGTGAACGTATTTTTAAAAATTCTTTTGGGTATATATCCAGGAGTGGAATTACTGAGTTACATGGTAATTCTATGTTGAGCTTATTGAGGAAAAACTGAACTATCTTCCACAGGATTTCACCAGTATATATTCCCACTGGCAAAGTGTCAGGGCTCCCATTTCTCTACATTCTCACCAACACTTATTATTGTCTTTCTTTCTCCTTATGGCCATCCCAGTGCTTATAATGTAGTATCTCATTGTGGGTTTGATTTTCATTTTTCTAATGGCTAATGTTACTGTGACTGTCCATTATGTATAACTTAAATTTTCCACTGAGTAATATTTCCCAATTATTTTAATGTTAGCTACTCATGATTTCAGGGATGGAACACCTCTGCTCAGCAATGCCATTACACTTAGATGAAAGCTGGTGTAATGGAGGGCACCGACGTTGCCACGGTGCCATTCTGAGCAGCAAGGCCCCCACCTGAGATCTTAGTCCACGGGAGGTTCTGCTTCCACGTTGCCGCAGGCCGCCAGAAAGAGTCTGGCCTGTTTCCTTATCTCCATAATTCAATAGCAAACTGAAATCTTCTTCTTGTTCAAAGTCGCATGCTTTTCCTTGTAGGTGACTTTAGAATACTTCTCTACTGTTGAGTAGATGCTAATGATCACTTTTTGTTGTTGCTGTTGCATGAAGGTCAAAGATATGTGCACACAAAGCAGGAAACCTTTGGGAATTCTGATGTATGAAAGGGGAGATCAGACTCTTCCGATATTGATCTTGTGTCAAATTGGGTGGCTCCACATCCAAGGTGGTAGGAGGCCAGTGTCTGATCTCTGAGGACAAGGAGATGTCAGGATCAACTTATCCCGGTCTTGCAGGATCCACAATGAAGTGTATAATGACAGAGGATGGAAACTGGTTCACCCCCAGGGAATTTGAAGTTGCAGGGGGCTATGAAACTTCAAAAAATTGGAAGATGAATGTCCGCTGTGGTGGGAGACCCCTAAAACACCTGATGGAGGTATTTCAGCGACGCGCAGGAGGGGCGACTTTCCTTGTTGTAGTCGAAGATAAGGTCACCGATTGATCACCCAATGTATGTTGAGTTATCTCCAGATCCCTGAGGCCCCTGACTTTATGCTTCACTAGGGGAGAGTCGCCTGACCCTCCTACCTCAGTACAAGGGAGCCTGTCGATTTCTCAAAGGGGCTCTGCCAGGGTAGATTCAAGAGCTCCAGCAGATAAAGGTCATTCTGACTCAGGAGCCTGCAGACGACTTTGGGCACTGAAAGAAAGAAGACTGTAGGCAGTCAACAAGTGGGCAGAAGACACTCCAGAGAAAGAATGGCTTGGAAACCAGAACCACTAGTAACTAGGCTCTGTGGGTTGAGGTAGATGCATTGAGCGTGATATGACCTCATCCACAAGCTGGGGCTGTGTGCAGAGGGATTTAACGTCAGGCTAAAGAGTTAAAATTCATAACATAGTGCAGAACCAGGGAGGTCTCCTGAGGTGTGACATGACATATTTAAAATAGTATCTCAGACAACATGGGGACTTGAAATGACTTCATTGTCTTTCAGCCCAAAGAACCTATAGTCAACATACAAGGCTCCCAAGTCCCTCCTGTCTGAATGTTCCCTGACTGACCTGCCCTGGTCGTTCCTTCCCTGGGCCCCCTCAACTTACCATTAAGGCCCTTCTCATGTTGTTTTATTCTTACCCTCCTATGCATTCCTTTTGACTCTCTAGACTACACTAGGGTTTGTCCTTCTTTGTGTGCCCAGCATTGTCCAGCTGCCTGTAGGTGTGGGACCCGTGTGTGTCGGTTGAATAGCCCTGGTGTGAGGAGGCAGGTGTGAGAGGCACTGGTGGGAATGGGGAGGAGGGGAGAGGTGTCAAAGAGATTGTGAAGGCAAACCTCTGAAAACTTAGGAAAAGAGCACATGAGGAAGGAAACGTGTTCTGAGGAGGATTTTCTGGGTTCCATGGATGAATTCTAGAATCAATACAGGTGAGGAGAGAGTGTTTTGCATTGAGTTGATAGTGTGAGGTCCAAGAAGAAATATTTACAAGAAGGTAATGCCAGACTCACAAAACATAAACACAGGCTAAGCATATACTTGGATCTTTTTATCTTTCAGGAAGAAAAACTACCTATACCGCCTGTAAAATGTGGCAAGAAAAAGAAGGTGATTATCTTTTTATACTAGTTCTTATTACATAACTGATTTTATATGTACTGCACATTTTTTATGGTTTCTTAATTGTGTGATTAGCATTAAGTTTCCTCTTTTCTTCTCTCCTACCTATTTCATTTCATTTATTCATTTGCATCCTTCAGAGTTGCTCCATTGAACATTAGTTTGTATGCAAGGTTATCTTTGAATGTTAAACCATTTGATATTTAGATATTAGGGAACCATCAAAATAGACTCACAGAAGAGTTATAGTTAAAGATATTGTATGAGTGTCAAATGTCATGCCAACATGTTTATGGAATACATAAAAACATTGCTTAAGAAGGTAAGAGGGTCCTCAACTCAATCCCAGATTTTGTTCTTATTTTTTACATCCTCCTCCATTACTCAGTAAAACATACACACAGATAAACAGAATTCTTTCTCAGTTGGAAATTATTTTTCCTTTATGGGGATGGTTCTGTTGGGGAGGGAGCTCTTGGGAGACAGATGTAGCCTACGTGAGGGGCTGGCTTGGAAAATGGTTTACTTTGATGCCCCCCAGTGGCTCCACCTCAGGGGGTGTGCAGGCCTCCTTTCTGTCTGTGGAAGTGGTTTCTCCCTCTGTAGAGTAAGGCTGTGGGGCAACAAACAAATACGTAATGTGCAGTGTAGATTCAGGCCAAAGTGGTAGTGTTTCCAAGACTCGGTATGAATGAGAACTTGAGAAGGAGGGGGAGGTGGGAGGGGCCGTTCTCACACTTCAGGTAGGAATGGCTGCCCAGGACTTTCACAGAATCCCCCATTAGCTTACACAGAGCTGGCCAGTGGGACTTCATCTGACACTGGGAGTGTAAGGTCCAGACTTTCACCTTATCTGATGATCTGCAAATTTGGAACTAAATATCAGTCTTTGGGACTTTCCATCCACTGAGTTTACAGAAGATAAAATATATTTAACATTATTAATTCAGAGCTTACTTTAAAAAGCAGTGTCTCTACCATTCTCCATGTGTCTAGGGTTACTTTATCTGGATTACCTAAAAGAGCTAAGAACTTCTGACCAATGGGTCTATCGTTTTCCATGGTTCCAACACTCTGTAGCAACAAGGGCCAGTTTCCCATGAAGTGACTCGAAGTGGCAAATCTCAAGACGCATTACTGCCTTGTTGGGCTCTCTTGTCTCCCTGAAATTCTCTTGCTGATGGTACCCCCAGTTTCTCTAAATTTCAGCATGGCACCTAGTATCACATGACAGCTTCCTGTCTCCTGATGGGGGCCACTTACACTTTCTGGTGACAGCTGCTGTGTTGTCAACTAATCTCATCTACTCAGCCAAAACAATCATTGATTATATGTTCATATTTAACATGTAATAGACATATAAAAACATGTAATGTCTCTTCCCAAGTGAAAGAATACACATTTATATACTCATTCAACATACAATTGACTGCTTATAAATTCAAGATGTCCATTAATGAGGGTTGAAATAATATTCCTGGCCTCAAGAACTGTTTCACCTTCATTGTGTACCATGGAAGTATTACTAGAAGCAGGGATTCGGGGGTACCCAAGAGGCAGGCAGTGACATGACCATTTCTCAGGCTACTTTCTAGGGGATCACACTTGTCCATGACCTTTCTGCTCCGGCTAGAGATAAAGCTGAGGCTGCCTCAAGGGAAGGAGGCCAAGTCTTTCTCCTGAACACACACAAGCAATGCAAGTGCAGTGCGCAGTGGTCTGTTTCCTGTGAAAAGTCAGCCAGGTGCCTTCTTAGGAATTGGATGGAAGCAAGATGAGGGTGACATTCTGGAAGAATTGCCATACCAAAAGTTTGGATTCATTTTATCTTTGGTGTGATGCCCTGGACGAGCTGTAGGAGGTGGTGGATATCTTCTCTGGGATACTTGTATGGCTCCCAGGACACTGAATGATAGATGGGGACTTAGAGGGTCCTGTATTACTACTAATGGCCAAGAGTCCATGGTGAGGAGGAGGCAACTGTTCCAGCAAAAGTACCCTCACTCCTGTTAATGATAATCTTCCCTAGGGTAGATACTACAGGCCAATTTAACAGTGACTTATAAGATCCTCATGCGTTGCTAACCACACTGGCTCAGGCCAAGTCGACACTTTGACTTTACTGAAATCATGTGAAAAATTCTGTGAAATAGCATTGTCTGGATCCCATGCTCTATGAAATATTTAATCAGTCTGAGCTATTGCTTGTATATTACCATTAGTTAAAGCTTTATATACAATTCTGTTACATAAGTTTCCCAGTCTACGACTTAAGGAGAACACGAATGCCTGTGCTCAACCCGGACCAATTGATCAGAATCTCTGACATTGGGAACAGGACTCTAGTATTTTAGTATTTTAGTATCTAGTATTTTTAGTATTTTAGGATACTAGACAATTTGGTTGATAGCAAGGCTGTGATTCTAGAATCTAAGAGTGGTGGCCTTCTGGGGTCTCAGTGTGGATGCATTGTTTTACCTTCTAGCTTGAAACGTCAGATGTATGTGAGGTCTGCTGGTATGGAGAAGACCTCATCCGCTGTGATACTTGTTCAAGAGTCTTTCATGGGCCCTGTCACCTCCCACCAGTGGAGACTAAGAGGTTTGTGGGATGCAGCCCCCCGTCTCTGTATGGGGTCCTTCCTCCTGCCATGCACGCTCCCCTTGGGGGTCCTTCCTATTGTTCTGGTGGGGAAAGAGCAGGGCTGGAGGTCCGGGGTCAGCAGTAAGGTCCAGGAGCTGCTGAAAGACGCTGGCAGCAGGAGGGGAATGTTCTCCTCTCTTTTGGGGAGGATGAGGCCAGTGGTTGGGCTCTTTGCCAGCAAATCACTGCTGTCCATTCCAGAACTTCCTAAGCATGGACTCTGGGTCACGGTAGTGGAAGCCAGCTGTTTATGTTGTCTGCTTATTTAGAAAAGGCAACAGACACGAACTTCTGCCATGTTCTCAAGTGGCTGACTGAGGCCCTAGGCCACTAGGAGTTAAGGTCCCGTCTCTGGCACTCAGGCCTGGTGGGCAGGCCTGGTACTCCCAGCAGCTCAGACGTGGAAAGGAGAGCCCACCACTTACCCTGACACCTCCCTGTATGTACTGAACCCTCGCTGGTATCCTGGATGAGAGGAAGGTCATCGTCTCAGGCCTTACATGGCGGACCTGGAGACTCTGGAGAGTGTCCCCTTCATTCTCAGTCTCTGTCCCTCAGCCATTCCTGAAAGGGGAACAGTGGCAGCCCCGGGAACGGTGGCTGTTTCTGAGACGTTGCCCTGCTCACTTATGCTTTGCTCATTCAGGAGACCGTGGAGTTGCACCCTCTGCAGGATAAAGGAACCTGCAGGAAGGCAGCCAGTTTACCATGAATCGGAGGTGCTGAAGAGACCGATGGGGCCTGAGGAGCAGCTGGTGAGTTGATTTGAACCTGGAAAGTTCTTTTTTCCACTCCCATGTGAGAAGTCAAACAGTTAAAGGGTTAGGGACATGATGCCAAAAGGTGTCTGCATTTCTGTCCTGGTCTCATCCACCCTGAAACCTCACTGGGATGGCATGCGGGAAAAATCCCTCCACCGTTACTTGTCTGTTTCCCAGAGCCCTACCTGTTTGAGGAAACTGCTGGAAAACTAGTGTGGACATGCCCCTGCCTGGGCATACCTATGGGTCATTCACTCTAAGTTACTTTTCATTCAAACCCTCCTTCTCTTGCAGAAATGCGAGTTCCTCCTCTTGGAAATCTATTGCCATCCAGACAGCTGCTGTCTTGAGATAATTCAACAAGATAATTATGTAAGTAATAAAAATAAACCATGATTACAGCTTGTTCATTGTCACCTGGTGTTAGCCTGTGATCTTGTGGGATTTGTGACCTGAAACCCATGGAGTGGGGGCAGGAGCTGTTGTTATCTGTACCTGGCATTGGGCTGGATTTTGCAGAAATCCAAACAAGGCGAACATTGCACTGTATCACAAATTCTCTCATTAATTTTTTTCTCCAGCCTCTAGAGACTTTTAAAGGCATGGATCATTCTATGATGTTGAAGAAAATCAGGAAGAATCTACGTGAGCGCTGTTACCCCTGCGTGGAGGGGTTCATGAGGGACATGCGCGTCATCTTTCAGAGTCACAGGGCATTTCATAAAGTAAGTGTCTCTCCTGCTTCCATTTCCTTTTTTTCTCCATTTAGTCATTTTGCCCTCATTTTTTGATGTACGGAAACTTTACAGTTTACCTCACGCTATAACAAGCCTATGTAAGCAAGATATTGGAAAGCGAGTGGCTTTTAAAATTCAAGACAGAGCATAGCAGTGAGTTCCTTGGTGCCCCTGCAACCAAAGCTTCAGACCCCTGAGCGCTCATTCCTCCCTTCAAAGGCAAGAAGTGCCCACTGAGAACAGAGCATCCTCCCCTCTCTGAACAAAGTCAGAGGTGAATTGCGTCCCAAGGTCACAATGCTTCCTATGTCGCCCCAGATATTATTAATCCAATATCTCAGAAATTTCAGACTCCAGTTTCCTTTGTATGTTAATGAACCACATAGTTAACAGGAGTCAGCAGAGAGAAATACAATGACAATTTGAGAGAAATATCACTGATTGTACTTAGACTTCTGTAATGTGTTATTGTTACAAAAACTTCAGATTACTTTTCTAATTATCCCTCAAGTAAAGAACTAAAACCAAATGAATAAGAGTCCTCAAGCATGGTAATGATTTTCCATTTTTGCCTAGTTAATAGTAACTAACTGTGCACTCAGGACACAGAAATTATTCTTAGCCATATGAGCTTTTAATCTTCACCTGGTTAATGTAATTCAATTGTGTTTTAGGCAAGAGTTGTGGCCATTCCAAATTGCAAGGTGTCTAATGATAGTGATAATAAGTGTCATTATTTTTGTCATTTTTTTCAGGATCATGCCTTGTACTTAATGGGAATTAAGTTGGAGGCCAAATTTGAGCAGTGTTTTAAGGACGTGTTTGCTATTCAGGAAAGAAAACAAGAACACACAGAAAACGAAATTAAATAAGAGGACAATGCAAGAAGAAAATTAGAACTTCAAGAAAGAAAAAGAAACTATCAAGAAGAGAAACAGACATCCTAGATCCAAAGAAGACAACAATGACATGGAAGAATTGAAGAGAAAGCTTCAGCACCAAACTCAGTTAAGCAGAAGAAAGAACCAGTGAGCTAGAGGAGAGGTTATTTGAAATCATCCACTCAGAGGAGCAAGGGAGACTGAAAAAGAGTGAAGAATGCCCCCAGGACTTAGGAGACATTATCAAGGGAACATATATGCATCATGGTTCTCCTAGAAGTCAAAAGGAAAAAGAAAGGAACAAATTGTCTATTGAAAGCAATAGTGATTGAAAATTGGGGAAAGAAATGGTCATCTATGTTCTTACAGCCCACTGGCCCACATAGGTGAAGTTTATTATTTTTTGTTAGTTTTAAGTTTTTTTGTTGTTCAATTACACCTGTCCCCATTTTTCCGCCATTTCTCTCCCCTGACTTGCCTTTTAGAAGGGCTTCATGGACAAGTTTTGTAACCGAATGTCAAATTTAAAGACAAAGAGAGTGCTTTGAAAGTAGCAAGAGAAAAGTTACTTGGTACATACAACAGAGCCCCCAAAAGATTACAAGCAGTTTTTGAACAGACACTTTGCAGGTCATGTGAGAGTGGATGATGTATTGAAAACAGTGAAAGCGAAGAGCTGCTGTGAAGATTAGTACTCAGCAAAGCTGCCCTATAGAATTAAAGGAGAAAGAGACCTACCCAAGAAAACGGAAGCTGAGGGCGTTCATCCCCACTAGCACTGCCTAGGTGCTCAGGTTGTTTGTGCATCGTCCCAACACACCAACGTTGCAGGTTTGGTCCCCTGTCAGGGCACATACTAGAACCAACCAATGCATAAATAAATAAATGGAACAGTAAACAGATTTCTCTCTTTCTTGCTCCCTTCCTCTCTCTCAATTCAATAAAAAAAAAATTAAGTCAAAGAAATATTATACTAAAAAAAGAAATGCTAATGTGCATTTTCCAGGCTAAAATACAGGAATGTAATTAAGTTTGTAAAACAAAAGAGCAAGATGACCTAAATCTGCACTATGCACAGTTGGGTATCTTTCTTCCTTTGTTCCATGCACAGGGAATTTAGAGCGGGAAGGAGGTAGAGAGAAGGCAGGGGCCCAAATCCCTTGGAAAGAGATGGCTGCGTAGATAAGTCCTAGAAGCAAAAACGAGATTCAACAACCATAACTCAACCTCCTTCTTTAACATAGAAAAAAAAACCTTAAGCTTTTCAGCAATAACTGGTATGTCTCATATGTACAGATGGTTTGTAAGTATGAACTCCAGCTCAAAATCTAGAATAAGCCATGTTTTTTCTCCAGGCATATTATTTGCTCTGTTATTTTGCTTATGAAACAAGCCTGCTCTAAGTAGGCATGTTTTGTTGTTTTTTTCCTCTCTTGTGAGCACAGAAGTACAAAGTGTATGTCGTTGCATGTGGCTGCATATCTCCTAACAAACACATGCCCCTGACGCTCTGCACGGCAGCATCTCTCCTCTGTGGTGGCCCGCGGCTCAGGGCAGGGGACCCCTGGGGTCTCCAGGAGCCAGAACAGAGCTGGGCCTGGAGTGGGCAGGGCTGGCGCGCTGCTTTTAGGTGGGGACAGAGAGCTTTGCTTCTGATCCATACGAGTGAGCTACTACCCAACCTGTTGCTTTCAGAAAACATTCTGGAATTCTGGACAATGGTCGGGGAACAACTGTCCGAGATTTCTGGAAGGTGAGCAAAAGTTGGGTGAGTCTGGAGGTGAAGTGATGCACAGACAGGGGCAGCACAGATGTTTCCTGCTTCCTGTCACCTCACTCTGAGGGCAGCCACAGGCGTGCATGGGTGCCCCAACCTTCCAGAAAGTTCTTGTTTATTTTTTTTTGGACTCAGCATAGCCAGGAAGAAACCATGGCCACCATGCTCTCTGGGGATGAAGGTGGAAAACCCAGATGGAAGGAAGTCACAGAGAAAAACCTCAAGTTCTGTGTATGAACTCTCCCCCGGTATCGCGATGTGAGTTCTGAAACAGCTGACAGGCAGAGCAGGGCACAGACGGAGAGAAAACCCCCAGCTGCCTTCCTGCTAAAAGCTGGATCAAGGGACGTGGCTTAGAGGTGGGCCAAAAACGAATCCCTAAATCTGAACCCCGCAAATGGACTAATCCACAGGCCTCAGCTGCCCCAATTTACCACCCCCAGCCCTCACACACCCCACAGACCCCGGTCCCTGTGCACCTGAGCTTGGGGGAGCACAGAGCCCCGGCCCCTCCCGCAGGACGAGCCCCAGGAGACCCGCAGGGAGCAGACTCACCTTCAGGGCTCCCAGCTTGAGCATCTCCCCAGAAAGAAGGGCGGGTGGTGGGGCCAGGGTCCTGCTGGTTGAGGGGCCACCTCCTAGAAGTGGATGTTGGTACGGGGCCTGAGTGTTCCCACTCAGGTCCAGGTGTCCCCCCCCGACTCCATCCCTGCATCCGCAGAGGCGCCTTGGGTCTCCATCCTCAGCCCAGCGGCTGCTGTTGCCGCTGTTTTTCTTCCACCTGCTCACAAATTCTCAGTCTGGACTTTCTGCCTCATCTCAGGGACAAACCTCTGTCCCCACAAAGTCCCCGAGGCTGGAGACTCAGCCCACTACTTGCACCTGAAAGGAAACTGCTCCTGGGGAAAGTAATAGAGATGGTTTCCTCACTGCATCCTCCTCCCTGTGTGCCTTCTCAATGGCTGCCTTTCCTGCTTTCACGGTTTCCAGTGTTTGTAGCTCGGGCAACTTCCCTGAGAACAGAAATGGTCCCTGTTGTCAGGGTCCCTTGCCCCCATGGAAAATGCCCCAGGCACTGCCTTCTTCCCTTCACACCAGCCCAGCAGGACTGCTTGGGGGTCCACCTGCTTCTGAAGATGGTCTTGCCCAATTCCCTACCTGGGCATGTCTGACCTTGCTTTCTGAATCAAAAATCTTTGTGTTCTGTACAGAGACCCCCCCAATCCCACAGAAACCACTGCTGCTGGCAGAAAGTGGGGCGCGTGCCCAGCTTTCCTGGCCCCACAGGACTGTCTCCTTCCCCTCTGCAGGGACCACCCCAGTGTGGGAGTGTCCGCCGTGGGGCCGCCCCCTGTGGGTTTCCCACCCAGCCGACCGCTATCCGCCTCTCCTTCACGTGGTGATCTTGGTGACTGTAAGCAGCCTCGGGGCAAAGCTGGAGCATTTATGGCCACACCCAGCACAGCGGGGGCCCAGTCTGCCTGCTGCCCGCGGACAGAGGAGACGGCGTGGATACTAGAAAAGGCTGGTGTCCTCTGTGCCAGACCCTGTCCGGGTCCTGTGAACCTGGAGGCCAGGGGCAGGGGAGAGCTGTGCCCAGCGGCTAGTTTTTCTGTTCCCAATGAAGGAAGGTGACAGGGTTGGAGAGAGACTCCACCTGCCATGTGTGCAGCGTCTGGGACACACTGAGACCCTGAACTCTGGGAAAGAAACATCCCCATCGGTGTATGGAATCCGTCCCAATTAATATTCACTCCTTTAGGGGAAAGAAAGAACATGGGTAGAGAGTGTAGAACCTCCCCTGCATCTGACATGTAATCGGGCCAGAACCCTTCGTCCCCGCCGGGGGAAGTCGGACTCGGGGAACAAACGTGGAACCCATCGCTCGGAGGATGGCGCTTCTCCGGCCCTGCATCTGAACATGGAGGCCTAACCCCGCTTCTCTGCGCCTCTCAGAAAGTTGGGCAGCTGAGGAGAGGGCAGTTCACAGAAGTTTGTGGTGGCTTTGCACAAACAAGGGGACTCCTGGGGGCAGGTGCTGCTCAATGCTGGGGGTCCCCCTCCCCTGGCCCTCCAGGTCCTGACTGTCCCTCCTGGGCCTCCATTCCTGCTGCCACCTGCCCTGACGGCAAAGAACCCCCGTGGGGCTGTAGAAGGGGGAGGCAGTGTTTCTCAACACTTCTTTCCCGATTTGGGTGGAGCCCACTCGCGCTGAGTCAATTCACACTTTTCCTGCTTGTAGCTGGGAAACCAAACTGAAACCAGGGTGCGGACACTGGAGGGATCAGACGTCCTGGCACGACCTGGAGCAAGGAGATGGCCAGTGGGGGCAGCGACCTCAGCACCAGGTCAGTCTCTGCCTTCCTCCTCTAACTTCCTCTCCGGCTGTGGGGCTGCTTTCGTGCCTGTCATTGGACGCTCCTCGAAACCTTGACCTTAGCCCTGCTTTAGGAGAACCCTCCCGTGCAGTGCAGTGAAATGCAGGGCGATGTGAGGAGGAAATCGGATCTTTAACCTGCAGAGGGACAGACACCAGTGTGAGGACAGCTGCCACCACCCACAGGACCCTTGTCTCACACCCGCTGCTCCGCTGGAGGGCCACCTGGACTGGGCTGTCCTTTCTGAAGCTTTGAGGCAGCGATTTATCTTCTCATGACCTCTGAACCCTCTCATTCCCCTAGGCCCCCTGTACCTTCACTTAGGTCATTCCAAAGAGGGTACTTTAGGAAATACAAAATTCAGGGTAAGCGTCTGACTCTTCAAATCCAGGTGCCTCGGTCTCCTACCTGACCTGGGGACAGGTGAGCACTGGGCCTGTTCCCCTCTCAGGCTGGGGGTCTGGCTCTCCCTCCAGGGACCCTGGTCTAAGGGAGTCAGAGGAAGAGGAAGGACCGACATGACAAAGACCAGTGCAGGCTGGTGTTTCATTTGTGCTTTCAATTCCTGCTCTGGATGGGTTCTACCTCTGGCAGGGAAAAGGCTAGAAACCCAGCCTTTTTCTTTAGTAACGAGTCAGAAATAACAATACCTAATAAGTTTGATTGTTAGGTATTTAATACAAAAAATACATTATACATTGGTCATAAAATTTCAAATGACAGGGACGTGGACAGAGGGAAGCAGGCCTGTTCACCACCCACGCCCTCCCGCACCCAGTCCTGGGCCTGCTGAGTGATGTGGGCCTAGCGTTTTGTGTCTCTTTCTATACATTTACACACATGACTTATTTTCCTAAATCCATAATTTGTGGCTTGCTTTTTAATAAATGAGATTATATTGTAATGCTTTTCTGTATATTACATTTAAAAACTTTTAATATTGAAATTATTAGAGGGTTTTTTTCATGTTAATAAACATACGGATCTACTGCATTCTTTTGAAAAGAGACATACTACTCCATAGAGTCATTTTTCCATGATTTTTAAATTTTGTTCTATTTAAACCTTTTATGTTGTTTTCAATTGTTCGCTATCACGAATAAATTACAATCATAACAATGATATCTTTCTTATGTTTTTCATACATAAGTGTTTGTCTTGTGTCAGAAACCAAAAGTTATAATTGGTGAGGCAAAGGGCACCAATATTTAATTGTGCATGCAGCCAGCCAAATCGCCTTCCTCGTGGCTGAACCTCTGTATCCTCCTCCCACTGGCTGATGAGCCGTCTCTCCACGCTCAGGCTTCACAAAGGTGCTGGATAAAGGGGTTCATTTTCTGATTACGTGGGAGATTGAACGTGTTTTCGTGTCTATTGGTCTTTTAAATTGCCTCTCCTATGAATTGCTGGTTTATTTTTGGTTAATGTAATCAGTTAAGGTGATAGTCCTCCTTTAATGATAAGAGTGCTTTTTCTACATAGTCTGAACTTAATAAATATGTTTCCTTGTTTTTTAACTTTCTAATGGCAACTTCTGTCTTATTAAAGCTTTCAAATTTGAGCAAAAACTTATAGTATTGATAGTATTTTATAATTTAGATGCACCCTATTTATCACAAATATATAACAGCAATGCCGAAAGTTACTGGTGAATTCCATGCACACTGTCTTTAACCAGAGTTCTTGTGTTTGTGGGGTGGCAGATTAAATTCTAATTTTACTTCAGGTAC